TGTTATGTGAAATTGGATATGCCCTTTTCAGACTGCAGTAGCCCAGATCAGGGATTACATGTATTGTTGGTTCTGCAGAATGCTGGTAAAAATAGTGGTCAAAGTTTTTTAAAACTTTGTGGACCACGCTAAATTCACACAAATACACAACCAAGCAAATATCCCCTAGACACATAAAAAGAGAACAATAGAATATGTATGTAATGTGCTCTGATATTTTCTACACCATTCAACTTTTCTTTCAAGGATGTGGTTATGGCCTACAAAACTGATTTTATGGCTCACTGATATGTTTTGATCATCAGCTTAAAAAGGCCACTCTAAGAGTTAGGGTATGAGGCAAGGAAGAAAGGCATGAGAGACTAACGTCAGTCCGTTGCAGTGAACATTTGCCATTATTGGTTGGTCAACAGCTAGTCCCATTTTCACTTGTGCCCTAATTTTATTTTGGACATTGCCACTCTTCCACTTGGGTTATTCATGGAGGGCATTATTTCCTTTTACCCTGATTGCCTCTCACCTTGTAGACAAGGGCAACACATGGTCTAAGCTTGGCCCATAGCACCCTTTTTAGGAACTTTAAGTTTTAAGAGAGTGATTGAAAAAATAGCGAAAGACTTGATCTCACTGATCATATAGGCATTATGCTGGCTTGATTGTTTGAGCACCCTCTGTTTTCCTTTTCTTGTGACTCCATAGGTTCTGGCCAACCATGTCTGGCCTTCTAGACTCGGGCCCAGTGAGTGTCCTATTGCTCTTTGGTCCATTGGAGGTTTATTAAAAAAATAATATCTCTTTTGCTTCAGTTTAATATTTTATTTAATTTACATAAAGTTAAGTTCTTTTCTTGGCAGAGAAGAGTCTGAATTGAACCAACAGTTTAAAAAGAACAGTTGATTAGGTTGGTATCATCTAACCACTAGACTGTCTTCCTATTGTCAAGGAGGGAATAGTGAGTAAAGGAGAGGATGGAAACAAAATAATTTGATGTAGTTCAGCTACTTGACAAATAACACAAAGATACAGCACCATTTCTGAATGCATAGTTTCAACTATAATCTCAATATAAATGCCAATGGCTAAATCACTAGTTGAAATTGGCTAGGTTATTAAAAAATAAAAGGCTAAGAGATATTTATTTCATTCACATAAACATTTCTTTCCTTGATAAATGGCTGCTCCAATTAATTATTCTATTATTATTATTTTATTTTGTTGAGATGAACCAGGTCTTTATATGTATGTGAAAATTGTACTTAGGGGCAATGTATAGTTTGATCATAAGTAACAATTAAATGAGTTGACGCTTTTGGATAAATGGTATTCCAGAATTCCAGAGTGCTTATTCTTACTATTAGTATAATCGTCATAGTTCTTGTCTATATGTTTCAATACCTGATTTTATTTGATGGGGTTATTTTTAATAAAATGTTTTTAAAAACTGCTACCTTTTTAAAATAAAAAAATAGAAAGATAATAAGTGGAAAACATTTTTAAAAAATCATTTCAAATGACTATCTAAAAATGATCATCATCAAGATGTGATGATGGTGACTTTTTCAAAATCTTTCTATGGGGAAAAAAGCTGAAGATGATCTTATGTTACTAGTATACTGCAAAGGTAGTTTCTTATTTAAAATATTTTTACATATTAGAATAATTAGTGGGATTATGAGGTGCCCCAGATCTTTTTCAAAAATGACAATGCTCAGTATTTTTGAGTGTGCATGATTCTAAAATAATTTGGCATAATATATTCAAAAGTCTTAAAATTATTCATAGTTTTTAGATAAAATCAAAGTAAAAAAGTGCTTAGTTACATAAAATAGCCAGAGATGCAACTCAATAACTATTATAAAGATATTTAGTGGTGTTATTAATAATGGTAAGAAATTGGTGAAATTACATTACATATACCCCAATTAAAAGATAGTAAAATAAATTACCTTATTCATAGCATGTAGTACCATGTAATCTTGACATACAATGTTGAATAAGAGTCATTAAATGATATAAAGTTGTTTATTATAAACTATTGAGTGGAAAAGTTTACACCTGCACATATATGCAAATATTTTTGTATACATATGTGTGCATATGAAGACATATTTATATACACATACGGAAATGGTAAAAACTAAAGTGATAATTATAATGTTTTATTTTTTAATTTAAAAATATTATCCAAATGTTTATAGTATATTTCTTTCAAGTTGAGAAAGTATTATTTTAATTTTTCCTATGTTTGGGGAAATCCAGGATTGAATGACACCATAGATTCTAAATCTATTTCAAATATTTTGGTTTAAAGACCAATTGTCAAGCAGGAAAAAAAAAAAACTGATCAAAGCACAACTGGACTTTAGGTAACTTACATTCTTCTTCAGATAATGTAAGACAAATCAAAATTTATTCCTTAACTTTTACATTTCTTTTTTTATTATTTTAAAAAGAGTTTTGGAGCAGTACTAGGGACTGAATTAGAACAGGATATATTTCATGCTTTTATAATTATGTCAAAATGGATTCCACTGTCAAGTGTAACTAAAAAGAACCAATTAAGAATTTTTTAAAAAGGGTTTTCTATTGTATTATATAAACTGTCTTCATATACTAATGCATAAATTAAAAACCTCTTTCTGCTCAAAACAGCACAGTAGACCAAATTTTGCTAATATGTCATGTACTAAAACATAATTTTTGAGTTCTAAACAACTAATTTTAGACTAGATTCTGAATCTATTAATTTATGGATTTGGTATGTACAGGAACCATTCCAGTGCCTTTCAATTTGTCCCTGAATTTTTTCTCTTTAAACTTTCAGGAAGTAATTTATCTTAAGGCCCTAAAATTGAATAAAGCTAAATATTTGGAGCTCATAAATTATCTACACTATATGACCACTAAAAATTGAGATGTGACTTACACATATTGTACCCCTCAGAATATCTAGCCCCATGAAAAGACTTCTTAATACCAATTAAGGGACTAGTTCATCCAAGAATCAAATATGTCAGTAATATTTGACACAAATATTACTTAAAAACACAAATCTGTTATTTTTCTTATATCAATACAAATTTCCTTCTGTCTCAGATTTTTCTGATAATGTTCTTCAATGTCTTGACTGTCTTGAACAATTATATGTCTGTTAGTTTTTTGCTTCATACTAATGACAATTCCCTAGTTCAACAGTAATGAGAACTAAGGCATTAAACTTAAAAGGCTCTAAACAGGTTTAAATGTGGTAAAATATTATTGTAATAGAATTGTAATGTATTTCTTTTCTACTTTCATGCTTCTCCAAAATGCTATAGTTCTTGTGACATTTTTGTCCTGCACAGAGTCAAATTTGGATTTTTCACTTTCAGATGGCTAGGGCACCATAAAGCATGATTTTTTTTTGGTAGCAAAGATGTTTCCAGGAGTTTCAAAAGGGACTACTAGTCAGAGCTAAAAAAGTCACTTTTCTTTAAATCTAGATCATATACAGTTAGTTTGTAAAGAAAACACAATAACTCTGTCCTCCTGCCTCTAATAACAATGGAAAAAATGGTAGGTTGATCTTTCAAAGAGGTGCTCCACAAAGTCATCCTCTGAGAGTTAGACAAATGGTGCTTTGGTGACATTTAATGTTCAATATGTGATGTGTTACTCTTACAACTTTTGCATTACTCTCCACACATATGTCTGGATAGCTAAATTATTCTGATCCTAAAAAAAAGAGAGAGAGAATTCACTAGCAATATTTAAAGCTGTTTCTTTCTAGGACTATACTTTCTCAATTATATATTTGGAGAAAAGTAGTTAAGCTAAACTCTGTCAAGAGCTCATAAATGAGGATAGGCTAAACTTTGTCAATGCTTAGACAACCCTGGAATGAATTTAATAAGGTTCTTGTAAGGACATCTTTGGATTATACACCCAATGTACATACATGAATAGTAAATTGTTATGACTAACCTATTTAGTGGAAATACCATAGACTTCCTTTGAGCACAAAATCTAGTGATTATTCATGTCAAAGAGACACATGCATAATTTTACTCAAACTCCTATAGATGCAGTCAGTCTAATGAAGGGATTAAAAATCATTTTGCCAGTTGTTGCTCTTCCAAAGAATACAGAAAAGGTAAGGAAAACAAATAATGTATAGCTATGTGCATCTATGGAGAAAAAGTGAATTTGTACAAGGCAATGCCTGTCTTGACTAAGGACAAACAAGAATTTAGCAATGCTTACCTTTAAAGAAAGGAAAAACCCTGGAAAGAATAATGTAAAACTGTCTCAAAGAAATCTTCATTGCATTTTATATGCTTCTGTCTGTCCTTACCTATTCCAGTGTCTGGACCAAAGGTGCACTTCTTAGAAAAGCCAGGTTTGTAATGGGAACAATGTTCTGACTCTACTTTTTTCTAGCCAAGTTCTGCAAGCAACTGACCCAATTTACCCAAATCTCATCACTCCATAATCTATAGTGTCAGCTACACAGCTATTTGCTGAACTTCAGCACTGATCTCTTTAGCACTGATTTTCTTGTATGATTTTTGTTCTGTGATAAGGAAGCACAGTATGAATAGAAGAGACTGAAGTCCTTCTCTGGGCCAGTCCCAGGAAACTGAAGTTGAAGGATGATGGGGAGTGTACAGCATAAAATTCCTCATGCAAAATTCATCAAACAAACATGGTGTACATATTCTCCTGGAGTATAAACAAATTACATCAATTATGAGCACCATAACCCCAAACAAAGCTATATCAAATTCTAATGGAACAATTTAAAATCAGACAGTGCATCACTGGGTTAATAAATCAGAAATCAACTAAGAGACAATACTTTAAATACCATATAATTGAAAACTCCATGCCCCCTTCATAGTTATTTTTAAAATAATGGTCAAAGCAGGAGAAAGGAGCAAGCACCAAGTTCACTAATGCAGGCTACTGGGCGGCTTTGATCAAGCACTGCGGTTCACAGATGAACACTTTACTTCTTCCTTTCAAGCTACCGAATCTTTGTTCTTCTGGAACAGGGATTTTATCTTCTTCCATATATTGCTTTTGGGTTTGGATTTTTTCTTTACGTCCAGCACTGCCTCCTTTTCTTTCCTTCGGATCTCCTGTACAAGTGTATGGAAGACATTATTAACGTAGCAGCGGTATGCAGCAGAGGTCTCAAAGAATGGACAGCTGAATTCCTGGGCCAGAGCCAATCCTTCTTCCTTGGTGACCTGTCTTAGCTGTTTTAGGTCAGACTTGTTTCCGACAAGAACCACAGGTGTATCGTTAGTATGTCCGACTTGATCAATAAGCTCTTTAAACTCCCGAACTGCATCGAAACTTTGGCGATCTGTGACAGAATAACAGATGATAAATCCTTCTCCTGCACTCAGGTAGCGATTCCGCAGGGCTGCAAACTCTGCCTGTCCGGTTGTATCCACAATGTCCAGATTGACAGGTTCGTCATCAACACGAACCCGTATTTTATAGCCGTCTTCAATGGTGGGGTCATGATCTTCTGGGAATTGGCGGCTGACGAACTGCATGGTCATGGCGCTCTTCCCCACACCTCCAGCACCCAGCATCACTAATTTGTACTCTCGAGTGACCCCTGCAGGGTTGCTAGGGTAGCAACCAACTGGGCGAGTTCCAGAAGCCATAGTCCTCTTGGGAAGTCCGGGTGACCCCCACGGAAAACCACCCTTCAGGGTGGGAAGGCGTTGGTCCGTTGCTGCGTTTACCCACTCTGTGCTCCTTGGCTCGCGGGTGGCTCCAGCGCTGACCTGTGACCCCTCCCGTCGCCGGGAGAGCTCCATGCCACAATACAATAGGGCTGGAGTATATAGATTAAATAATAATAGTAATAATAATAATAATAATAATAATAATAATAATAATAATAATACTGTGTGTAAGAAAATAAAGTTCACCCTGAGGTCACTATTTTGGTGACCATAGCCTTTCAGGCATCCCTTTATGCACACGCATATGCATGCATGATCTGTCATTGTTTATAGATGGAATCATACTATATGTCCAGATTTTTATAAATAGATTCTATCCTCTCCATTCCTACCCCCAGCGTCTACAACATCAGCATACCATGTTCCACAGTTGTCATTTTAACAACCTTGGATATTTCCTGTTTTTTCCATGCTTGTATATTGATTTTCCATTTTTGGACAGTTTTCCCATTCATACAGCAATACAGTACCATAGAGAATTGATTTGTGAGTGTGTGTGAATCTTACAAAATATTCCTCTTTCACGTTTCTTCTTTTTCATGATTGTCCTGGCAATTATTGAGCATTTCTCCATATGAATTATGAGAATTATCTAAATTAAAGACTTCTTGATAAGACTGTACTTTTGAATTTTATTTATTAAACTGGATTACCTTTTAATTTATCCATCACCTTGGAGACATAAGCAATTTCATCAGGATTATTTTTAATTGAATACTCTCAAAAAGTTTTGTGAGAAATGACTAACCTAAAATTAGAAGAGAAATCTTGTTATAGTCAGTTCATACAGTTTCATCTCTTTAAATTGCATATTTTATTTATTTTAACCAAAGTATTGAGCAATACAGTTTCTGTGGTTTCTTTTAAGACTCTAAAATTTATATAGGAAAAAGATTATAAATATAAGTGTGAAAATCTCTTTGCTTTTGGGTCTTAGAAAATGAGAACTATAGGTACTTCATGCCCTGCTATAAAAATGACAAAGTAATGTAGTGGTAGGATGACCTGGTTTTCGTTGGACTGAGGGATTTTCTGGGGCAGGGAATTGCATTGATAGTATGATTAGTTGGTCTGGTGTTTTTTTTTTTTTTTTTTTTTTTTTTTTGCAGTACTGGGGCTCAAACCCCAGGCTTCACACATGCTAGGCAAGTGCTCTACTACTGAACTACATTCCCAGCCCTTGCAAATTTCTTTTAAAAAGAATACTTCTAAAATGTCCATGTTCTTACACACACATTCATTGAAGTTTCCGTTGTGGTCTTTAAATTTACCTTATTGATTACTCCCTGTCTTAAAAATCTTGCAAAGATTTTTGTTCAGTTAAGTAAATTTAAATGTTAAAGATAATTTGGGACTGGGGTTGTGGCTCAGTGGTAGAGCACTCCTCTAGCACATGTGAGGTGCTGGGTTTGATCCTCAGCACCGCATAAAAATAAATAAAATAAAGGCATCGTGTCCAACTACAACTAAAAAAATATTTTAAAAAATGTTAAAGATAATTTAACTGTATTGTAAATTTGATTTATATCACTTAAAATATTTTATTATGTATGTAAAGAAAAGGTTTCTCACATGTCAAACACAAAAATAAAGATAGCGTGATAAGAATATCAGTCTTAAAATTATGAATGTATTAAGATGAATAGCAAAGACATACACAAGGAGATAAAAATAGTTTATTGCTTTTGAAGATATTCCCATATATTCTGCAAAACTTATGTTTCCATAGAAGTCTTGTATTAGTCTTCTTGGGCTGCCATAATAAAATGTCAGAGACTCGGTCACTTAAAGAAGAGAAATTCATTTTCTCACAGTTCTGGATGTTCAAAGTCCAAAACTAGGGTAGTAGCATTGTCAGGTTCTGGAGAAGTTTCCCTTCCTAGCTTATAGATAACTGCCTTCTTGCTGTGTTTTTACATTAGGGAGTAAGAGATGTGGAATGAACAAGCTCTCTGGTGTACTAATCCATTATAAACCAAATTAAATTCTATAGGCCCCATCTGCAAATACCAATTCTCTAATTGAGAATTAGAGCTTCAACATATGAAAGGGGCACAATTCAGTCCATAAGAAATCTCATAAGAATCCTCACACAGATTTTGAGAAATTAGTGATTTCTTGCAGTTAGTTCAGCTTGATTAATAAATTGCTGAAAGGTCTCATGTCTGATTAATCTCTAAAAAACTATTCAATTTTCTGCAGTATATTTTAATATGACATTGTATTGCATATTGGATAACACAGTTTTCATGGAATAAAATACACTAAGATGACTGTATATAAAACTACACAGCCATCAGAAAATGAAGGGCTTTCAAGTCATCAGAATGCAAGTTATATTGCATTTTTATTGGCTTATAAAAATCCATAATGGACTTCAGTACAGTGTATTAAGCAGATGAATATATTTGGTCTTTGTAAAGTCATTTATTTTATGTAAATTTTTATTGTAATTTTCTCCTCAAACATCCATTGTATTGTTGTGTTCTTTGTGAGGTGGGGAGGATGTTAGCTAGTGTCACAAAATTTGCCACTAAACCACTGAATTGTGACAATGTCAACCTCTATATTCCCTATCTGTTATTCCAATATATAAGTGTAAGGCAGATAAAATGCTTTATGCACACAATATATTGTATGGGTTTGAGTGAAGATATGCACTAAAACTCATTATTTGAAGGATACTATGCTTATAAATATTAGCAAATAAAAGCAACAGAATATCTTGCTGATCTGAGATAACATAATCTGGATACTTGCTTCTAGATTTTATTTTTTCTTAAGTATATGACTATCATTATTCATCTCATGAATTTTACAGCCTATACCATGTCTAGGTCAGTTTATAGCTTAGTTTGTATAGATCTATTCTTGAGGTTTTTACCCTTGTTTGGAGGGAGATGGTTCTATTTATTTATTTGCATTTTTTTTGTTTATGGGGATAAAGTGATTGAATAAAAGATGATCTGAAATTCTCAGGGCTTAGAATGTTTTTATGATTTAACTGATTTTTCCATGGCTGTTTTCAACTATTCTAGCCATTAGTAGACAGATATTTGTATGGGGGAGATCTATGTGAAGATAGAACTAATTGGAGGTAGAGTGAACTGGTGATTATAGACAGAGAGAGGAAAAAAAAAAAACCACTTAATCCATGTGGGCAATTGACTATATTAGTATGCAAATTGTATCTGATGCTCTCATAAATAATGTGTTTATAGAAAAAAAACAGCCATTTGGTTTCAGTAAATGGTGGTACATGCAACACTTTTGTAGATGATTTGTGGGCCATAGAGGGGTGATGCTATTTCTCCTACTGAACACATATTGCTTTAACTGTGTATTCAAGAAAAGGTATAAATCATAAGTGCAAAGTAAGCAAAATGTAGCTACCAACATTTGTTTTAATTATGTGATATTGAAATATCTCCTCTTAATATTTTTCATGACTGATGGCTTGTAAAGCTACCACGGAAAATAAAATTGAGCATTATATATAATGTAATTATGAGCCTTCAGTCTTGCCTGTACTTGTAAGGTAATAAAGCATATTTGTATTACATTTTGATCTTATTTTATTCCTTTTGTGAATGTTAGCTTTTCTGTTGAAACTTATCCTAAATTGAGTTTAAGTTACATTCTGCAGTGTCAGGAAAATTGATAACGTTTATTTCTTAACACCCTGCGATATATGATCTTACTAACTCTGTATTAATATCACCAAAGAAGGGTAACAAAAGGGGCTTTTAGCTTTCACCTTTTGTTCAATAAATCAAACATAAATATGGCCTGCACATGGCTTTTTAGTGAACTCTGCCATTTTATTTGTCTTTTATCTTGAAGGTTTATTGCTTTACATGGCTTAAAGTGATTCAGGGTCTGAACTGTTTAATCTGGGATGTTTAGGTTATTGGTATCTTGACCAGTGTATGTGAGAAAGTCAGATGCTAAAACTTTCTGTTCATGCACAGTAGGTACAGTGTGTGCATTTCAATGATTCATTCCTTGGTGCATAAACTTTCATTACCCACTTGTTTTTGAAAATGTATTGTATTTCTAAATGACGATTTAAAATATTGGATCTTTTCTGATTATTCTGTCATACTCAAGCTCAAAAACTTACTGTAGACCATGTGTTAATTCTGTTTCCAGATTGTTTCATGGAAACTTCCAGGAAAAAGCCAAAATGGTAGTTAAGAACTTATCAATATCTACTAATTGTACCAAGATAATGATTGCTCTGCATAAAATTTTATAATTTTAATGTAAAATTCCTTTGTCATTTGCTTTTATGCCCTTTTAACACGACTGATTTAGTTTCTTATGGAAGAGAGGAATGGAATAATACAAGAATAAGTATAAGGCTGGACCTCAAAGGAAGAAAGAAAACTCATAATTATTAAATACTATTTTACACCAAACACTGTGATAAAAACCTGGATGTTTGTTTTGCACTTAAAATCTGGTTGAAATTGCATGAATATCACACAATCAGTATATTGAAAAACTTAAAATTATCATGTACTACATAGTATTGTGACTCTACACTGCTATAATAATAAAACACCAGAGTAAAATGATTTTTATAGGCATAAACATCATAAGTGTTCAGAGATGAGAACGATTGGCATGGCACTATGCTGGACAGGTAAGACTGAGACTACAACTGACCAAAAGGGTGATAGTGATTTATGACTCTTGGTTTAGCACAGAGTTCAAGAACAATTTTACACATTTTTTTTTTTT